ACTGTGACCTTCAGTATCCATCTGTATCACTGTGATCTTCATTGCCCAGCGTCTGTGTCACTGTGACCTTCAGTGTCCAGCCTCTGTGTCATCGTGACCGTCAGTGCCCTGCCTCTGTGTCACTGTGACCTTCAGTGTCCATCTGCGTCAATGTAACCTTCAGTGTCCATGTGTGTCACTGTGGCATTCAGTGTCCATGTGTGTCACTGTAACATTCAGTGTCCATCTGTGTCACTGTGACCTTCAGTGTCCATATGTGTCACTGTAACCTTCAGTGTCCATGTGTGTCACTGTGGCATTCAGTGTCCATGTGTATCACTGTGACTTTCAATGTCCATTTGTGTCACTGTGACCTTCAGTGTCCATATGTGTAACTGACCTTCAGTGTCCATGACTCACGAAATCGTAATGGCACGATTACAAACAAACCATACCACGGGTGGGGATAGAACCCACGATCAGAGAGTCTCAAACGCGGCGGTCTGGAGTTTTGAGACTCTCTGATCGCGGGTTCTATACCCACCCGTGGTATGGTTTCTTCAGTGTCCATTTTTGTCACTGTGACCTTCAGTGTCCATCTGTGTCACTGTGACCTTCGGTATCCATCTGTGTCACTGTGACCTTCAGTGTCCATCTGTGTCACTGTGACCAGTGTCCATCTGTGTCACTGTGACCTTCAGTGTCCGTGTCACGGTGACCTTCAGTGTTCATATGCGTCACTGTAAAGTGTCCATATGTGTCACTGTGACCTTCAGTGTTCATATGTGTCACTGTGACCCTCAGTGTCCATCTGTGTCACTGTGACCTTCAGTGCCAGCCTCTGTGTCACTGTGACTCAGTGCTCTGCCTCTGTGTTACTGTGACCTTCAGTATCCAACCTCTGTGTTACTGTGACCTTCAGTGTCCAGTCTCTGTACTACTGTGTTTTTCAGTGTCCATCTGTGTAACTGTGACTTCCATTGTCCATCATCTGCGTCACTGAGACCACCAGTGACAAACTGTTGTGTCACTAATAATGAACTTTCGTTTGACTGTGACCACCAGTGAACACTGTGACAATCAGTGAGCCACCTTTGTGTCACTGTGATCACTAGTGACCAGCCTCGGTGTCACTGTGACCAAAAGCGATAGCCCCTGTAATTGTGATCACCAATGACCATCCTGTGTCACTGTGACCACCTTGTGTGTCACTGTGACCATATTCTGTGTCAATGTGGCCACCAGTGACCATCCTGTGTCACTGTGACCACCAATGACCATCCTACGTCACTGTGACCACCAGTAACCATCCTGTATCACTGTGACCACCAGTGACCATCCTGTGTCACTGTGACCACCAGTGACCATCCTGTATCACTGTGACCACCAGTGACCATCTTATGTCACTGTGACCACCAGTGGCCATCCTGTATCACTGTGACCACCAGTGACCATCTTCTGTGTCACTGTGACCACCAGTGACCATCCTGTGTCACTGTGACTATCAGTGACCTCCCACTGTCACTGTTACACTGGAGAAAATTTATAAGTTTTCACTATGAGACTGCAGTGTTGCGTCCAGTGAAGTGACAGATCAACCATGCTGTGATGACTGTGGACCAGCGGGCCGCTAGTAGCAACAGCCTGGTTAACCAGGTACTCCACCTGACCTCAGGCAGCACTGTAGGTATCCAGGAACACTGGCAACTGGTCACAGGTAAGTCACAGATACCGTCGCCAGTGGAGAGTTAATACAAGACTAGAGTTTAGTTTTTCTATCTAAAGTAATCCAAACACATTTACTTATATTTTTTTTATCCAAGGAAACTGAAAAATATACAGGTATGTAATTCTGGAACAATATATACTGTGTATAGACATACAGAAAGTATAGACCTAAGTGCAGCTGTGGTAGATGATATTATTAATATTTTTAATTAAGAGAGAAGTTAGTATAAAGTAACACTTGTCTAATATAAAGTAACACTTATGTCCAGCGACCAGCACTTGCTTACACAGAGTAACACATACTGGCACCCGGTAATTGCCTGTATAGAGTAACACTTATCTCCAGCCTCCATCACTTGCCCAGTACAGAGTAGCACTTATCTCCAGCCTCCAGCACTTGCCCAGTACAGAGTAGCACTTATCTCCAGCCTCCAGCACTTGCCCAGTACAGAGTAGCACTTATCTCCAGCCTCCATCACTTGCCCAGTACAGAGTAGCACTTATCTCCAGCCTCCATCACTTGCCCAGTACAGAGTAGCACTTATCTCCAGCCTCCATCACTTGCCCAGTACAGAGTAGCACTTATCTCCAGCCTCCAGCACTTGCCCAGTACAGAGTAGCACTTATCTCCAGCCTCCAGCACTTGCCCAGTATAGAGTAACACTTATTTCCAGCCTTCATCACTTGCCCAGTATAGGGTAGCACTTATCTCCAGCCTCCAGCACTTGCCCAGTACAGAGTAGCACTTATCTCCCGCACTTGCTCAGACAAACTTGAAGAAAACAACTTCCATCACAGTTATACTATCAAGTCTTTGCTAAATAACAATAACAAACATTTAAGCTGTCGACAGAGTACACTGTGTTAAGTGATGTTAGACTGGCTAACATCACTCCAGTGTTAACTAAAATAAATATATATATATATATATATATATATTATAATATATATATATAAAATATATATATATAATATATATATATTATATATATAATATATATATATGATATATATGGTTTAGAAAGACACGTAAGCAAACACTATGACATATTTATTAGAAAAACTTTCGTCTGGGACCTTGATCAAGGTCCCAGGACCGAAACGTTTTCTAATAAATATGTCATAGTGTTGCTTACGTGTCTTTCTAAACCAACTTGTCGGTATTTATTACCAAGGTTTATACCATTAAATATATATAATATATATATATATATATATATATATATATATAATATATAATATATATAATATATATATATATATATATATGAGCATGGGGCAAGTGTGCTCTAAAGTTCCTCAAAGAGCTGGGTGAAAAGCTCATCATAGAAACCAAGGACCACAGGGTGACCAGCTTCCTCTTTCAGAGACTCAGTGTTGCGATCCAGAGAGGAAATGCCTGCAGCATTCTGGGCACGCGGCCCACCGCAGGGGAGCTGGACGAAGTATTCGAGATGTAGCTCTGAGTTACCTATGTTGTTTTACTTTGTATCATATTTTTTGAATGTTTCGTCAATGTATTTTGTCTATATATATATATATATATATATATATATATATATATATATATATTATATATATATATATATATATATATATATATATATATATATATATATACATATATATATATATATATATATATATATATATATATATATATATATATATATATATATATATAAATTTTGACTAAATTAATGGAAAACACAGATTGGAGCAAGATCATAAAATTTCTGGATAATAATTTAAGAATAACTAACATTGATTTTACAATAAAACATCTGACCTGATATATTTTCAACACTCTTCAGTTATTGATACTGACTTATATACTGTGTCTTGATTTCTAGGATTCTGATGCAGTAGCGCAGTGAGCAGTGCTTGCTAAGATGAAGTTATATTCTGTGACAGATATACTCCTGATAACTGGAAATGATAAGAATGACTGGTGTAGCAAGTGCTCCAGTGACTGGTGTAGCAAGTGCTCCAGTGACTGGTGTAGCAAGTGCTCCAGTGACTGGTGTAGCAAGTGTTCCAGTGACTGGTGTAGCAAGTACTCCAGTGACTGGTGTAGTAAGTGCTCCAGTGACTGGCATAGCAAGTGCTCCAGTGACTGGTGTAGCAAGTGCTCCAGTGACTGGTGTAGCAAGTGTTCCAGTGACTGGTGTAGCAAGTGCTCCAGTGACTGGTGTAGCAAGTGTTCCAGTGACTGGTGTAGCAAGTGTTCCAGTGACTGGTGTAGCAAGTGTTCCAGTGACTGGTGTAGCAAGTGTTCCAGTGACTGGCATAGCAAGTGCTCCAGTGACTGGTGTAGCAAGTGTTCCAGTGACTGGTGTAGCAAGTACTCCAGTGACTGGTGTAGTAAGTGCTCCAGTGACTGGCATAGCAAGTGCTCCAGTGACTGGCATAGCAAGTGCTCCAGTGACTGGTGTAGCAAGTGTTCCAGTGACTGGTGTAGTAAGTGCTCCAGTGACTGGCATAGCAAGTGCTCCAGTGACTGGTGTAGTAAGTGCTCCAGTGACTGGTGTAGCAAGTGCTCCAGTGACTGGTGTAGCAAGTGTTCCAGTGACTGGTGTAGCAAGTGTTCCAGTGACTGTTGTAGCAAGTGTTCCAGTGACTGGTGTAGCAAGTACTCCAGTGGCTGGTGTAGCAAGTGCTCCAGTGACTGGCATAGCAAGTGCTCCAGTGACTGGTGTAGCAAGTGTTCCAGTGACTGGTGTAGCAAGTGCTCCAGTGACTGGTGTAGCAAGTGTTCCAGTGACTGGTGTAGCAAGTGTTCCAGTGACTGGTGTAGCAAGTGTTCCAGTGACTGGTGTAGCAAGTGTTCCAGTGACTGGTGTAGCAAGTGTTCCAGTGACTGGTGTAGCAAGTGTTCCAGTGACTGGTTGTAGCAAGAGTTCCAGTGACTGGTGTAGCAAGTGTTCCAGTGACTGGTGTAGCAAGTGTTCCAGTGACTGGTGTAGCAAGTGTTCCAGTGACTGGTGTAGCAAGTGTTCCAGTGACTGGTGTAGCAAGTGTTCCAGTGACTGGTGTAGCAAGTGTTCCAGTGACTGGTGTAGCAAGTGTTCCAGTGACTGGTGTAGCAAGTGTTCCAGTGGCTGGTGTAGCAAGTGTTCCAGTGACTGGTGTAGCAAGTGTTCCAGTGACTGGTGTAGCAAGTGTTCCAGTGACTGGTGTAGCAAATGTTCCAGTGACTGGTGTAGCAAGTGTTCCAGTGACTGGTGTAGCAAGTGTTCCAGTGACTGGTGTAGCAAGTGTTCCAGTGACTGGTGTAGCAAGTGTTCCCAGTGACTGGTGTAGCAAGTGTTCCAGTGACTGGTGTAGCAAGTGTTCCAGTGGCTGGTGTAGCAAGTGTTCCAGTGACTGGTGTAGCAAGTGCTGTTCCTGAGAACTAGCTGAGCAAGCAATTTGCAAATAAAGAATTAAAATACACCATAAAGGTTGGCTAGATACACTGCTATGACTGACTGACCACTGCAACCTTAACCTTATTTCAAGAAGTACTTCTCGAAAACCTGTTAACCATAGATCTCTTAGACCATAGTATTGATGGTAGCATAAGTAGTAGCAGCAGCAGTAATAGTAGTAGTAGTAGTAGTTCTTGTGGTGGTTGTTTAAATCCCATCTCTGCTTCTGCCTATTCTATTAAATGACCACTTGCGTCTTTATAATACACGATTTTTTCGAATAGACGTTTTCAAGGCGGCAGTGCGGCGAGAGGACATGAAGGACGGGAGAGAGAACTTTCTGTTATACCATCCTTGCTTCAACTATCCTGACATGAGAAGAGTTACAGAGTGCAGGTAGTCCTTTTCTAAGACACTGCTTTATGGTGATCCTTTGTTTTTAAAAGATGCGGGGAGCCTGCTACCGCATCTTTTGATGTGATATTAACTGGTTTACTGGGTAAACCAATTAACCAGAGGAAGGCCTCTCTCAAATGACCAACATCTTTATGGAGATCTTCATCTATGATTACAACTCGTATCAGTTACTGATACGGTTTCTCCCGACGAACAAAACACTACCACCATCAATCTCGGTAGACAGCCTCGATGTGAACTATATAAGGCCTTGTGGTATCTGCCTTTCCATATACAACATTAGATATGAGAGGCCAGGAAGGATGCGTAGGACTGCAGCTGTGAGAAGAGCTATGCTGCGATTCGTGTAGCAGTTGTAAGCTAGGTGAGTTGACTAGGTTAGATTAAACAGTGATAGTTCTGTTGTGTGGTGACCACAGCAGCGGGCGCTGCCCCCTTGCCCACCAGGGTACTCTCATCACAACTAAGTACAAGACACACTATTAATATAGAATCCAAAAAGTATTTAAGAATGAACACTTGAAACTTGAATCACAACTACAGAGTCAGGAAGGTTCATCTAGGTTGGTAGGTTGGGTACTGTGTGAGACGCAGGAACGTTGTTTGATTGGTGGTAAGTTATTTGTAAGCAGGTGGCATCACGGGGGCCAGGCAGAGTCACAAGGAAGCAGAAGACGTCACTAGGAGCACAAGACATCACTACTTGCCAGAATTCATCATTTGCTCCTTGAGTTTCCCGTGGTTGTTCTTGGCGATGTAGTCCGGTAGTTCGATACCCACTGTGGAAGAAAACTCTGTTAGTGCACATATCAAATTATCTTGCAGAGTTTGTGGGGGTTGAGCTCAAGCTCCTATACCCCCTTTATAACTTAAAATCAGATAACGTTGTTCAGTTATGTCAAAAACTTTTGAACCCATGTGTTGATTTATTCTGTGAGTAATTTTATTTTGATGAATATGACGCGAGTCACCAGGTGCAACACTTCGGTATCCAAACTGCCGAAATATTTCTCCAGCACAACAGACTTTTTTTTAGACGAATGCAAGTGAATATAACACTGAAGAAATGGTAGTTTTGAGGTAACCAGTCCCTCAACCGTGGTAGGAAGTAGTCAGTCCCTCAAGCTTGAGGATCTAACCACCTCCTACTAAGGTTGAGGGACTGATCAACTCGTAACTACTTCTAATGTCTTTTGTTTTATATTCGCCTGTACCTGACTGTGCCGCAACCGAAATGTTGCTGCACTATAGACAGCCAGGTGTTGCACATGTCTTTTATTCATCAACATGTGGCTATTGTTTGCCATTATTGAAATGATATTTAATTATATGTTGTTTATTTAGTTCATTTCAGAGACTAAGAGTTCTAATCAAACTAAACTAATAACAAAGTGAATCTCTCTCCAACTACATTAACTTGACCCACGATCGATGCAGCTCTCAGCTCCTGATAAACAACTTGATGAATAATTATATCTAGGTTAAGAGAGGCAGCAGCCAGACCAGCCCGGGAACCTAATCTGGGTTGTTTTGGTTGTGAATAAAATGATCTACTACTGTGCTACATGTTACATTTAATTTATAATTCAAAAGTATTAGTAGTAGCGATATAGAACCCCAGTAGCAGTGATATACAACACAGTGGCAATTATATACAACCCCAGTTGCCTCCCCTTCTTCCTGGATATCAACAGATAGAGGCAGCAACACAGAGACGAGGCTATAACAAACATTTAGGATATAAACAAAAGCAAAAACAAACAAATGATCTTGGAGGCATTACAATCACAAGAACATTAAATCAGAGGAACTTGGGTCCACAAACTGGAAAAAATCGAGAAAGGCTAAAAGGAAAAGTGTTCAAATGAGTCAAAGAATACGTACTGAAGAGTGTGGGTGAGGGTAGAAGATAACAGCAGGATGAGACACAGTGAGAGGCCCCAGGATCGGCACTAGGATCATTGTTTTTCTACGTACAATATAGATCCGACATGATGAAGAATTTGACACATGTGCAACATCTGGGTATCTTTATTTCTAGATGTTTCGCCATCCAGTGGCTTTATCAATACAATTAAAGGACATTGTGTGAAAACTGTAGAACTATGTACAAAAGATGGGTTAATAAGTCCCTCAGCCTAGGAGTTAGCGAGGAGAACCGTAGTATTGAAGAATCTGAAGCACCAGCAGGAAGCTTTAGTCACAACATCATTAGTGGATGCAAGTGTAGTTTGTCTTATAATTCCCTTCAGATATCTCGACAAAAAATATTTCAGGATACTTGTACACGATCTGTGTCAGGGCTATTTTAGAATATGTAGGAGCAGTATGGCATCCACACCTGAGAAAATATGTTCAGAAGCTAAAGAAAATTCAGAAATATTCAACTAAGTTCATTCCGTAACAGGAGAGTTGAACGAATGAAGAGATACTCAAGAAATGTAACTTAACCTCAGATAATTAATCACTGTAGACAAAACAGAAAGAGAGACTGCTTGAAATGAAAGGAAAAAAAAAAAACAGGTAAGTAAGAGGAACGTTAGGAAATATTTCTTCACTTTTTCAATGGTAAAAAGTTGGCACGAACTGGATGAGGTGATGGATACAAATTTTAACATACCTTCAAGAGAAAGTATGTTGGGACCCAAAAATCCAGGAATCAGTAAATGCCGGCTAATTTGAAAGCTAACAGGCGTAGCCAGGAGGTGAGTCTGGATCTCCGTAAATCTTCTGTAACTCTTACGTGCACATTAAGATGAGGATAACATCACATCAACACCAGCTGAAAATCACCTCACCACCAGCTCAATATCTCACCCAATACCTGACTTCCACCACAACAATGTGTGTCATGTGTGGCACCTGGGGGGGAGGACTGTCTTCTGGCTGCCATTACGTAATTGAGAGTGTCACAAAGATAGGAAGATCAGTCAAGGTGTGTGTGTGTGTGTGTGTGTGTGTGTGTGTGTGTGTGTGTGTGTGTGTGTGTGTTCACCTAACTGCGGTTGCGGGGGTTGATTATCAGCTCCTGGCCCTGTCTCAACTATGTAGAATCAGTTGTACCAGTTGACTATCTTGCAGCATTTGGTGACCATATCCATATGATCGTGAAAGGAGTTTGCTACCATCACTCCTCTTCTATATCATTCCATTTTCTATCCAAATTGTAATTGAAAGAAGTATTTACTGACATTCCAGTGGTTCCTTCCAAATATCCTCCTGCACTTTTCATCCCTATCTTTCATCACTGATCTCTCCTGCTTCTTCTTTTCTTCTTCTTTTTCTTTTTTCTTCTTCTTTCGTCTTTCTCCTATGCCTGTCTTCTCGTCTTTTCTCTTATGTTCTGTGAATCAATCTCTGGTATCGTCAAGTCTGACATCAAATGACTTCTGACGAGCTACGGACACACAGATCATCCACTTTTTTATCTTCTGTTTTATTTCTGTTGTGGAATTCTACAAGGTTGGTGAGACGTCTGACTTTACCCGTGTTGCTGGTCACTTATAATTCAATTCCTCTTCAGGTGCTCTAATGTTCTTCAGGTGCTCTAATACTCTTCAGGTGTTCTATTTTTCCAGGTGCTCTAACACTCTTCGGGTGCTCTAATACTCTTCAGGTGCTATAATACTCTTCAGGTGCTCTAATAATTTCCAGGAGCTCTAATACTCTTCAGATGCTCTACTAATTACCTTCTTGTATAGAGTACAGACGTGTTGCACACGCTGCACGTCTCCATGCCCCCTAAACACTGGGTAATGGAGGTCATGAGAAGACAGCGCTCACAGTGTTGTGAGTACAGCTCCTGATCCCACCGATTCTGCTGACTTTGTTCATATTCATCGTGGTGTGGCCTCCCAGGCCCTCATACTTACTTCTGAAGCTGTGCAAGAAGCTTTCTTCCTCCAATTCCTCATCTACCCCATTCAGCTTGTCTAATATCCTCCAGAGAGTTATAAACAAAGTGTTTTCTAACAGCCCTGAGGTTCATCTGTAGCCCCTCTGTGTCTTCAACCGTCCAGAAGTCTGTCTGACGGTCTCTCTGTCTGTTTGTCCGTCTGTCTGTGTGTCTGTCTGTTCTCTCAGATTCTAAAAGGATCGTAGCTGTCATGTTCTTGTGTTTCTTTATCCTTCTCACCTTCACCCTTCAGAGGGCCGCCTTCATACCGACGAAGGGGTCTTGATCTATAAAATAGTGTACATTGGTACATACATTCACATGCAAAGACACACATACATATGCAAAGTATATACATGCGTAGATACATACATATATGAATACATATTTTAATAATTTGCTACAATTAGAATTTATCACCACCTTCCACCTGCGTACATTGAGGTAGAGGAGGCTGGGCTTATGGAATACTGGGATACCTTTCCAGGATCACGCAGCGACTGAAATACGTCTAGTTTTTTAAGTCTCTGGCAAGTGTTCACAGTCATTAATAATATCTTTCTTTAATCACTTACAAAGGCAATTGTTTACGAAGAAATTTCTCGCTTAACTATTAGTAACAATATATCAAAAATTATATACAGTGATGGATCTCAGCAGGAGTCTACTGGCAGGACTACATCTGCTCTTGTTGTCACCTCCAGCAGGAGTCTACTGGCAGTACTACATCTGCTCTTGTTGTCACCTCCAGCAGGAGTCTACTGGCAGGACTACATCTGCTCTTGTTGTCAACTCCTGCAGGAGTCTACTGGCAGGACTACATCTGCTCTTGTTGTCACCTCCAGCAGGAGTCTACTGGCAAGACTACATCTGCTCTTGTTGTCACCTCCTGCAGGAGTCTACTGGCAGGACTACATCTGCTCTTGTCACCTCCAGCAGGAGTCTACTGGCAGGACTACATCTGCTCTTGTTGTCACCTCCTCCAGGAGTCTACTGGCAGGGTTACATCTGCTCTTGTTGTCACCTCCAGCAGGAGTCTACTGGCAGGACTACATCTGCTCTTGTTGTCACCTCCAGCAGGAGTCTACTGGCAGGACTACATCTGCTCTTGTTGTCACCTCCTGCAGGAGTCTACTGGCAGGACTACATCTGCTCTTGTTGTCACCCTCCTGCAGGAGTCTACTGGCAGGACTACATCTGCTCTTGTTGTCACCTCCAGCAGAGTCTACTGGCAGGACTACATCTGCTCTTGTTGTCACCTCCTGGCAGGAGTCTACTGGCAGTACTACATCTGCTCTTGTTGTCACCTCCTGCAGGAGTCTACTGGCAGGACTACATCTGCTCTTGTTGTCACCCTCCAGCAGGAGTCTACTGGCAGACTACATCTGCTCTTGTTGTCACCTCCAGCAGGAGTCTACTGGCAGGACTACATCTGCTCTTGTTGTCACCTCCAGCAGGAGTCTACTGGCAGGACTACATCTGCTCTTGTTGTCACCTCCAGCAGGAGTCTACTGGCAAGACTACATCTGCTCTTGTTGTCACCTCCTGCAGGAGTCTACTGCAGGACTACATCTGCTCTTGTTGTCACCTCCAGCAGGAGTCTACTGGCAGGACTACATCTGCTCTTGTTGTCACCTCCTCCAGGAGTCTACTGGCAGGACTACATCTGCTCTTGTTGTCACCTCCAGCAGGAGTCTACTGGCAGGACTACATCTGCTCTTGTTGTCACCTCCAGCAGGAGTCTACTGGCAGGACTACATCTGCTCTTGTTGTCACCTCCTGCAGGAGTCTACTGGCAGGACTACATCTGCTCTTGTTGTCACCTCCTGCAGGAGTCTACTGGCAGGACTACATCTGCTCTTGTTGTCACCTCCAGCAGGAGTC